TTTAAGACAGGGTGTCACTATGTTCTTCAGGCTGGCCTACATATTGAGTCTGGCTTCAAACTTGCAGGGAGCCTCTGGGAGTGCTGGGATTATAGGCATGTGCCACAGCGTCCGTCATTCGCCTATTTAAGAACTTTGACAGCTGTACTGGGTTGGTGACACCCCCAAAATTCATGCCTTTCCTGCAAGCTCACAATGTGATCTTATTTGGAAATAGGATGGCTGCAGATATAAATAGTAATGTCCAGGTCATATTGGAATATGGTGGGCCTTTTATCCAATAGGGCTGATATCTTCATAAGAGACTTAGAATCAGGACAGGGACGACGCCATTTGATATCAGAGTGGAGTGAGGCCGCTACCACCCAAAGAACACAGATGATTGCTGGCCACCACCCAGAAGCTACGAAGGGTCAAAGGAGTCCACTCAATCTCACAAGTATGGACTACAGTTCCTTGATTTGAATTAGACTTCACAATGTGAGAGAATAAATATCTATCGCTTTAAGCCCCCTAGTCCGTGGTAGTTCCTCTTGGCTCCCCCAGGAAACTAATAGGCAATTTTAACTTCCTCTCTTCCTAGCCCGAGAGCACATGTCCACAGTAGAGTCCTTTATCGTGTCCCCTCCATGAGTGGGAGAGTCCCAGACGTTTACGAGCTCCTCCTCTGAGAGGACATAATGCCAATGCCAACAAAAATGGCCGTCATTACAGCAGACTAAGGGGCTACAAAGATAAACAGTAAGAAACTAAATATGAGTTGCTGGTGGAACAAGCGGGAAGCGAGGACAGCAGAGGGGAGGAAGGCTCAGTTTCCCAGGCGACGCCCACGGGGGCGGGAGGAGATTCTGCAGGAGATGGGAATGTAGCGCAGTGGGCGGTGATTGGTCGAACGCTCCCCGCCCTCTCTCCGCTCCTCACTGCGTGAACCCCGCGACCGCCAAGGCCGGCCCCGCCCTGTTGTCTCTGAATCCCATTACCGCACTCAGGGTGCCAACCACTTGATTTCTTCCATGCCTGCGCGCAGTGCGCGGGGCGGGACTTCCGCCCCACCTCCAGGAAACCGGAAAGGGACCCTTCTGCCCCCCGGAAGGAAAGGAATTGAGACGAAGATTGGGTACGAGTTGGTAATGTGTGTCTGGCGGAGTAAGGGCAGACTCTGCTCTCCCGGCGGGGCTAGTAACAGCGGCGTCCTAGGAGGCAGGCTGATGTACCAGGTTTCAAGGGATGCGGCAGGGAGCGAGGGTAGAGGTGACAGGGCCGCTCATGAGAGGACCTGTTGCCGGGTAAGCGCGACCATGGACCTGAGCCTCATTTCTGGTTCACTGTGCTTGGTTTTCTCCACCTCTCTTGAAAAATGAAGTTGGTAGCTCACGGAGCTGTGGTGGGGTTAGATGTGAAAGGGAGAAGTACGCACTCACTCAAAGCGGCGTTTAAAAAACTTTCTGTTTTCTCATAGACCGTGTGGATGGGCCGGTATAAACTCGAGCATTGTGAGTTCAACTCCCGACTGCGGCAGCAGCATCTATTCCATTACTTTTTTTTTTTTCTTTTGATTTTTCTCCAGTACCGGGAATGGAACTCACGACCTTGCGCTTGCCAGGCAGGCTCTGTGCCGCTGAGCTAAATCCCCAGCCCCTTCTTCCATTACTTTTAAACACACTCAGAGTTGGTAGTTTTTACGTGTTCTGATTCCGACAGCAAATTCATTTGATAGAAGGGTCGAAGCCATTTGGGGAACCCCCTTCGTTTCAGTTTATGCTGAAGCAGAGACAGGAGACAGGTGGAGAAACAGTTTGCGAATGACAACAGAAACGTAAAGTGCAGTTTCTTCATTTCCCTTCCCTAATATTTTTCTCTATATCTCACTCTGGATGTCATCTACCTTATTGACACTGCACAGGTGGAGAGGGTTGCTTCTGTTATTTCCCTTTCCGCAGTATGTATGTATGTAGAAACAAAATGTGAAGGTGAACTTTTACTTATTACATACCTTTATCCAGGAAAACAAGGTATGTGTTCACCCTTGAAGCAAATTCATGGTTGAGAACCTTTAAAATACATGTTGGCCATCTTGGAAATAATCAGAACTACAATAAATACTAAATGTATCGCTTTTTTTTTTTTTACAGTTATGGGAGGGACATTCTAAACTACAAATCTTTAGGGCACCTAAGTTGAACTCCCCTTCTTGTTCCTCCCAGATTAGAAGTCACTACCATGTGCTATTAGTGACGAGGCTATATCAGATCATTCGGATACATTGGGACAGAGGAAGGTTGAAAATCCCTGGTCCATATTTTTAACCTCTGCCTTCATCCCCGTCTCCCCAAGCATACAGAAATTTGAAACTGCTTGCTTGCTAGTAAAGAGGCTTTTCCTTTGATTTGGAAGCTAATTTGATGTCTTGTTTGTCTTTTCAGGTATGTGAGCTCTTCGAAGCAGAAAAAGCAGTTGTTCCCATTTCGATTATTCCAAGATTGTAAAGGCACGTTCCCTGCCTTTGATGTGCTTACAGTCAAATGGAACAGACGCAAGTCAGTGGTTGCAGGCTGGCCACTTAAGGATTCTAAAATAGGTGAGTATGTGGCACTCCTCTCTTCTTGGAGAGGGAGGAATTAGGCAGTGCTTCTTGGAGGTGTTTTTTGAGCTGTGCGGATATTAAATAGTCAAGGAAGGGGAATTTGACTGGGGGCTGCTTCATAGATTGTAGATGGTACAAAGGACAGTAACAGGTAGTTTATACCTTTTTCCAGAATCTCTCATTTCTGGATACTTTTTGTTTTTTTTCCTCTGTCTCACTGGCATTCTCCCCCTCACTTTGATAGATGTTTGGGATATGGAAGGAAGTAGGAGGGTAGGAATCTTTCTGGGTGGCAGAATAATAGACAAGTTTACTAAAAGTAATGTATATGTCCAGTAAATCCATCTCTCAAAACTATGTTTCTGCTTTATTAAAGCACTAGGAAACCTCAGGTTTGTTGGCTACTTTTCCAGTGAGTGGATTCTATTCCTGTCTCCAGTTTAGTTTGTTTGAATTGAAGGACATCTCTTAAGCCCTTTCTGAGGCACACATTAAGGCTTAAGAATGATAATGGGAGAGACAGGAAAATAAGGTTCCAAGTTCATGCTACAAAAACATTTGCATGTTGTTTGAATCAGCTACAAGGTGTTTAATTTTACAGTTCAAATAAATGATAGTTTAATTCCACTAGGAGTGGAGTAAGTGAAAATAGAGCAGAAAACCCTGATTCTGTCAGGGTGTGGGAAAATCAAGCAGCCCATCAGAGAGTTGGACCTAATTTTTTTCTGGAATTGGTAGTACAGAAAACAAGAAGGGAAATAGTAGGACATGGTCCTCTGGACAAGAACCAGCACCTACGCAGGAGCACCTCTCTGAGAACCATGACTGTCTTGGGGGCAGTGGAGCCCAGGTCATAGTCACTCCTGCCAGGGTACTTCCTGGTGATAGAAGAGAAGCTGCCCGGCTGGAGTCTTTTTTCCAAATAAACTGTCATCTTGCATGTAGATTAGTTAACTATTGGGCACAGTAAAGGAGGCACGTGTGGACAGTTCATTTCTCTTAAGCTTGCAGTTCCAAGTTGTCTTTCCTTTAATATTGTGACATGTTAACAGTGCTTTAAAGCTGGACCTGGTTATATTCTTCTGGAGACTAAGAAAACAGAGTCCTTGAAGTCAAGCTGATTCTGCATTTAGCCTCCTAAATGAAAAGGTAGATAGAACAGGTCTTGTTTGCAAAAGAAAATCCAAGACCTACTTATCTACCAACAGCAATTAGACATTTTCCATGGTCTTACTATAGAGAATAAGAATAGTAAGTTTATAGAGGAGAAAGATAAAGAAAGATGTAGTGAACACAAGAATCTTACTCTGCTAATTGGTAGGAACGTGACTAGAAATTAGACAAGTGACTTGCTAAGTCCAGGAGAGGATTTTCCTGCAGTGTAGGCTTCCAAGAGCCTAGAAAATTTTCTGGTGGCTGAACTTCATTAGATAGAGACAGAATGTCACAGAATGCTACGTCACGGTGAATTGTGCTGCAGCAGCCTCTCATGTGAGCTGAGGAAGGTCATGATCTTCACACACTTTGGAGGATGAGGAGAATTGAGGTGGCCCCGCCACCCCTGCATTTGTTCTGCTCTGCAGTGATGACCCAGTACATGCTTTAGAAATATTTTTTTATCAGATGTGTGTAAGTGATGCTACATCATTTGAACCAGTAGGAAGCCAGTTATTACTACACATATACTTTTTAAAATAAAAAGCAATTTAATTTTACCAGAAACCAATGTCATTTGATGTGCCAAGTTGCTAATGAATTTTCCAAGTCCCTCTAAGTAGGGTGCTGTAAATTAGTATCTTTATTACTAAACCCTTGCTATTTTTCATCCAGATTCTGTGGTTGTTTTACATATTCTCTTTGCCCTGTGTTAAGGTGGGAAAGCCAAAGCTTATGTAATGACTTGCTCAGGAATTACAAAGTGCTACAAGGAAAGCTAAGGGGAGAACAGGTTTTATCATCATTTGTTTTAACTGCCCAGTCTCAGGAATTGTGGCTTCAGCAGTCTAATTTTTAAAAAATCTTTTTCTATTTTGTTTTTAACAGATTTCTCAGCAGGTTGCAGGTGCACATGGCCTTGAGGTAAAGACTGCCCCTTGTTGAAACTTAGTTTTAGCAGATTGTTGGTGGTATTTTAAGAAAGTGGAGGGGGTTGGGGATTTAGCTCAGCGGCACAGCGCCTGCCTGGCAAGCTCAAGGTTGTGAGTTCGATTTCCGGTACTGGAAAAAAAAAAGAAACTGGAATCTTACAAAAAAACAAGTTATGTTTAGTTTTGTTCTAGACATCTTTTTCGTATAGAAGTTGAGAAAGATGTTTAAATAAAAGGTTCATTGCACTAAATAATTGTGATCCTTGAAGTTGTTTGTTCCCTTTATGTAAATTGATTTTAATTGTTAAAAGATAACTCCAGATAGTTTATTCTTGTTCTAATAAATATTTATTAAAACCTAAGCAAGTATCAAGTTTTTAATCCATGTTCATATTATTTTGGTGAAATATTCCATAAAGCCTTCTGAAACCCTGTATTCAAACATGCCATAGGTATGATACCTTCTTTCCTACTTGGTAGCTTCTGTTTTAATAGCTGGGAACATTTTTGAGTATGTACATATGTATATTTTAATTGTTTACAACTGAGCCATTTCTGTACTTACATCTGCTGCATCTTATTTCAGGGAGGGTGATCCAGTTTGTCATGGCAGCTGTGTGTGTGTTGTGTGTATAAGTATGTGTGTAACAAGTTGTTACATTGTCAGGGTGAATGGTTAATTTGGGAATCTGAGCTGCTCTTCACACCAGTAGAGAGTTCCATAGAAAATGAAGGTGGCCCACGGATCAGACTTTTGAGTGTCTAGAAAACTTGAGTTTAAATTAAAAGATTTTTGCACCTAAAAAAAACCCTAAGTGATGAGCTTAGGGTATATCATGTTTAGAAGGTGTCCGTGGTGCAGGATACTAAATTGTCTCTCGTGCGAACTACTCCACAAGTGCACTTCTTCCTCCGCAGCTTGCCTCAGCTTTGGCAGTGCTGTGTGCAGCGCTTACCTGGCTGCTGGGGCTGTGAGCTGGAGAGCCAGGAACGCAGCTGACGGTTGGGGCCCGAGGTCACTGGAGGGCACAGGGCCGTGAGGTGGGCTTCCAGTGAGCCGCTGGCCAGAGACCACTGCCCACCAGTGCACAACCTTGCCCCTCGGTGCATGGATGATTGAAGAAATTGTGCACTCGCTGCATGCTGTGAACTCTTAGGGCCTCTGAGGCTTGTCATTAAATCTCCCGACTCTATGAGACAAGCAGTATTACGTTTCCCTTGGTTTGAAGGAAAACAGGCTGGAAAATGAGGTGACTTTTCCATGTCATAAGGCAAAGTAGTGAAATCCAGGCCCTCCAGTTTCAAATTTGACTCTTCACATTGCAGGAGTGTTGTACCACCCCCCCCCCGCCACCACACACACACACACACACACACACACACACCCTGCATATACAATGGAAACCCGTGTTCAGGTGTAGGCCGTGGTGTGTGTCTTCGGCCGCCGTTAGGAATGTGCCATGTTCCCCAGGTGCCCCTCTCCCCTTCAGCTGTCTCTGTCCCCTGCTTGGCCACAGGTGCTTGGCTGGTTTTTGAAAGTGCCCACATGGCTCACATGGAGAGTAGCAAGGCCAAAGAGCAATGGTTGAAGGAAGATACTTAATAAGCATTTGGGGTGCGCCTGCTGTGTGTTAGCCCTTAAGGTGCAAGCGATGAATCAGACACTGTCCCAGCCTTCACAGAAGTGGGTATGACAGAGGTGATTTCAAACCAGAGTGGCCTGAGCATGGTGAGGGCGAGGACGGGGCGTTACTGGGTGTCGAGTGCACCTTTGGGAAGCAGGAAGGTCCGAGGCTTTCAAGTGCAGCCTGTCAGGTCTGTTCTTGGTGACTATGAAGTACGAATGCACAGTGGCTGCTAAAGTTTTAAGACTTCCTCACTTCTCCCAAGCTCTGGAAACCTGGAAGACACAGTATCTTACAGATATAAACAGATGGAGTTTGACCACTTGAGAGGCCTCTGAGTTCACTTAGATCCCACATTTCCTTCACTTTACAGCTCAGCCTGCTGAGGACTACCCTAGCGTCACACAGGCAGCAGTGCCTACTGTGTCGGCCTGCCAGGTCACAGCCTGAGCCACAGGCGACGCCAGAGACGTGGTGCCTGAATGCCAGGTTCAGCCAGCTGAGGCACAAGTTGTTGAAGGCACAGAAGCAAGAAAGGAAAAGACGTGAGGAGGGTCTAACAGAAAGTGGCATGCATCGGCATTGAAATGCCATTACGTATCTTCAGACACCCAGGCTTTTCCAGAGAAAAACAGGGGTGCACAAATTGGTGAAGCTGACAACTGAATGTGTATAGATGCTGAGCAATGTCCACATTGAAAAATGACAACTTTGAATTCTCATAGTCTAATAGGATGCCGATCTTCTTTGGAGGAACAGTTATTCTTATATCTGGAGTTGTCCTGTTGTGCAGAAATTCATACTTATGCCTGAAAATCAGATGTTGATATAACAAAACTTCAGAAATTCTGTAGATGAGCTATTTATAGAACATTTCATATTTTATTCATACTCCTATGATTTTGTTATTTTCTACCAGTGTACCTGACCATTTCCAAAGCTATCTATTTCTTCCAACTTTTGTACTAAGAAACATTTTTAAATGTTGTTCTTGAGCAACCTCTTAAGAAACTTGTATGTAGAATCATGAACTGATACTTCATCGAACTTAGTATAGAAACAGAACACATCTGAAACATTTGGGTCTCGAGGCTCCCCTGTGTAGACCCTTTGTAATACAGACCCTTGAAGGAGGGAGGGCCCCTGTGGTCTTCTGTGTGATGCAGGGGCCTTTTGGTGTAGACTCTGTGTACAGGTACCCTGAGGTGTCCACCTATTAAGCTTCAACCCATGCGGGGCACCCTTCAGGCTGTCTAAGTGTTCTGTGTGCTTTGCAAAGTGGCTGCGGGAACCAAAACCAGCTGCAGGCCTGCCCTAGCCCTGCTGCCCACAGACAGCTGAAGAGCTGTGTGCCCACACACTGGGCCCGAACACAGGTGAGCCCTGGGAACAGGACCTGCACGTGTGAGAGCAAGCCAGGCTGTTGCCATCCCACTTTACCTTATCCCTTCATTGCTTCTCTTAACTCAGCAGCCCGTAGAAGCCAGATGAGGCCTTCCCTCCCAAGAACCAATACAGTCTAAGACTGTGAACCAAAAGAAGGAGCCTGCTGGGAAACCTCCCCTCTGCTTGTCACACACACACATTTTCCTGCGTATTTCTGAGATAGAACTACAAGAAATTTCTGCACTAGCTCCAGTGTGTGGCCTCCCTTTTGCCTTTGATTCCCTCTCAGGGGTCCACCCCTCTTCTTTTAATCCTCACACCTCTCCTCCTAAACAGACTCCTATACACTTCTCTTATTCTCTGTTTTACCCTGCCCCTTGTTCTTACCTTTCTAAAGAAGAAGAGACTTTGATTCTTACTTGAGGTAGTCTTACTTGAGGTAGACTGCAGGTAGTAAGCTGACTGAGTGCATAGTAATTCCTGCATGCCCAAACTGGTCCTGAGGTTTAGTAGAGTTCAGTGTAGTGTAAATCTTATGGGGGGAAGCTGGTCTTCCCATTTATGCTTGGGCATGAAAAGTTTTAAATAACCACGAGGCAAGGTCATGGGCACGGAACACTGGATGAATGTTAATGGGATTAAGTCAAGGGAGGTTAGAGACCCCACGTTACACGGGGTGCTAGGAAAGAAGTGTGGGCTTTCTGGTTGTTGTTGTTTTCTAATTTTCAAAGCAATGGTTGTAACCATGGCCTTCTAAGTAAACATTCTGTCCACTGGCCTGGGCTTCGTGCAGTTGCCCCCCGTCATATGAAATTACTCCGTGTGCTCAGCATATGGCGTAATCATTCAGCCATAATCATTAAGCTCTTCACCGACACTGATTGAAAAGATGGAATTGGGGTTTCAAATCAAGCTAAATCCACTTAATAACACTGAAGGTAAGTATGAATGAAAAATCCACCAGTTAGTGGAGAAGAGTGCAGTCTGTGGAGCTGGACTGCCTGGGTTTGAATCCAGTTCTGAGTCCACATGGGGCGAGTTATCCAGTGCTCATGAAGCATCAAGTCATACAACTGTGAGAAGTGAGATAATGCATGTAAGACTGTTGGCACCTAGTGAGACTTCCACTGGTGTTAGCTCTATGTCAAAAGCTGCTCTTCCTCTTGGTTAGACATTAAAGAAAGTAGCTGGCTACGGCTCCTGAAATACCTGGGAATATTTTACAACACAGGTATAGAATTTAAACACTCCCCCCACCTCCACCCGCTCAAACTTTCCAAGTTTTGTTTTACCTTGAGTCAAATGTGTGCCTCATGCACCAGGAGAGGCCATTTGCACCCAGGTCCTCCTGCTTAGGGACATCTTCAGAGGCCACACCAACCGTGTAGTCCAAATGCTCATCCACCTCCACCTCCCAGTAATGGCGCCCTTGGATGGGAATTAGATTTCCCATGACGGCAACACACCTGGTATAGAAAGCAGAAGCATGTGTGATTTGGGGTGTCCCGAGCCAAGCCATGCAGGTGAGATATGTCAACTGCTCGGGTCACTGGGTAGTGATCTGTGAACGTGGAGGTAAAAGCCCCTCACTTGTAAAATACCCAGACCTCTCAAAGCTCAGTGGGATGCTGCTGAAGACTGGAAGAGGGGTATTACATTGCTTGGTCATGGTCGAGGAGGAGACAGATGCTGGGCCACCAAACAGCCTCTACTGGCCCTTACTGGTTGGGGCTTTTCTAGTAGTAATAGAGGTTTGATTCACAAGTGAAGTGAAGCGTGTGCTGGAAGGTAATGAACTGGCTGGCACTTGGAGGGCCTTTGATCCTCCTTTAACCCTGATTCTGGGAGTGATTCCAGGCAAATGTCAAATTCAGAGCAGAGCCAAGATGGGCGAGATTGCACTTTCCTTCCAAATCATCAAAATCTATCTCCAAGTTCCACTGCCAATAAAGAGTTATGTTCTAAAATGGAGGTTTTCATCAGAAACTGGGTCCCATCAGTATCTCCAAAGTGAATGATCTCCCACATTCAGGAGATGCCTCTGCTAGCCAGACTTTACACCCATTCCAACACTGCTGGAAAGATGAGCAGCTGTCATTCAGAATTCCTCTCAACTTGCAAAGCTCCAAATTCCGAATGAGCCAGTAAAGCGTGAGAAGGAGGCTGCACGTTAGCCGCTCCTCTAGAGCCACATCGCCACCTGTTTCCACTCCACAATGTCCCTAGTGGATACAATCATGTTGCCAGCCCAAAACCCTCACCTAACTACAAAAGTTTGTATTTGGCTGGAGTGGAGAGAGCATACGCTTCTCAGGGTTTCTTCATTTTGGTTAACATACCCAGTACCCAAAACCCAAGGCAGAAAATAGGAATAAGGTAGTAACCACAAACTCAGCTTCCAGTTTAATCCCAGTTCAACTCTTAATAGTGTGCTCTTAATGCTGGGCATGTTGGCGAACACTTATAATCCCAGCCCTGAGGGAGACTGAGGCAGGAGAATTTTAGGCTCCAGGCCCATCTGGGCAACTAAAACATAGTGAGACCCTGTCTCAAAAATAAAATAGGACTGAACATAAGTCTCACTGAAGGTCCTGGGTGCAATCCCCAGTACTACCACATAAAAAAAAGTCTTCATAAGAAAGGGCTTAAGAATTCCAACACAGTGGCAACATACCTGTGATCCTAGCACTCTGGAAGACTGAGACAGGAGGATACCAAGTTCAAGTTCTACCTAGGGAATTTAGAAACGCTCTGTCTTAAAAAATAAAGGTGCTGGGAATGTTCCTCAGTGCAACAAAGGCCCTGGGTTTAATCCCCAGCACCACCTCTCCCCACAAAAAAGGCCTTGGCCAAGGCCAAGTTCCTTAACTTTACCATACCTCAGTTTCCTCATCTGTCACTGGGCTTGATGACAGTCTGGACTTCCCTGGCTATTGTGATAACTGGATCAGAGAAGCCACATAAAGCTCTGCAAACACACTGGTGGGCGATGGTGCAGTCCACGTCCCTCCCTGCTACCCTCTGTACAAGGCCTCCCCGCCTGGGGGTATTGTGTGCTAGCTCTGCTGATTCCATGGGTGCCTCTCCCTGCTCAGTCAGGGCCTCTGCAGCCTCTTATGTGGTCTGTTTCCTCCCTTCCTTTCCCTCGCCCTCCCTAGCTCACCTATCACTGTGCCCTGTGATATTTCCAAAATGTACATGTGATCATGTCATCCCCCTGCTTTAAATTCTGCGATGTCTTACCACCTGAAGGATAAAATCCACTTTCTTCTGCACTGAACCTTATCCACCTTCTGCCTCAGCTTTCACCTCTTCTCAGCATGGGCTGTGTATAGAAGGCATGCTAAACTACTCGTAGTTCTCCAACAGGATCTTCCTGGCTTCTATGCATGTGTACAAAGCACTTACCTGGCTTGTTGGCCTAGAGAACTATTTATCCCTCAAAATCCCCACCCTCCAAGAATTCTTTCTTGGGCTCCGGACAGCATCTTTCTACATGTCTAACTCCTCTTTTACAGGTGTTTTCCATCTGCTCCACCTACAGATCTAAGCCTCTATGGACGAGATAGCATCTTCATCCCTTCACCTTCAGTACACAGCCCAGCACTTCACAGGGCAGCGGACACATGGGCAACAGATTAAAATGAGACTCTGGGCCGGGGATATAGCTCAGTGGCATAAGCACCTGCCTGGCAAGCACAAAGTCCTGAGTTCAATTCCTGGTACCAAAAATAAAATAAAATAATATGAGACTCTGTCTCAGCTTGGCTGGACCCCATAAAGCCAAGATGAAAGCAATAGATGCTCAGTACTCCCCTATTTCAAGGTGAGATGCTAGAACTTTTAGAGACAAATGCCCAAACTGCAACCCAAAACCCACTTCCTTAATGCAAAGTGCCAACACTGCAATTAAACCTGAATACTGAGGTTGTTTAGAAAAAACTCATACCTTAACATCTTTTGTCTTAAAAGAAAAATACAATAACATGCATGCCATAGGTTCACCATCATGGGGCCAGACCATCCAAGCAATACTGCCAAAGGAAATGGCCAAAACCGGGTTTTGCAACTTGTAGTGCAACACTTAAGTTGCAGAAGCCTGAGGCTGTGTCTGCCCAAAAAGCTCCGGAGAAGGAAGGAGGACAGCAGTGCCTGGGTCAGAGGTGTGACTGGAACCTGACATAGGAAAGCTGTCTCGGTCTTGTATGGTTTTCTTTTTTGGTGCGGTTAGGGTCTGAATAGACCTTGGCAGAACGAGGCCAGAGTCATAGTGCTGGATGTAGAGGTCGATGGCTTGTGACGGGCCGCCAGAGGCTTGGGCTCCTGGGTTAACGGCTACAGTCAGGGACCACAAGAACATCTATGAGAGCCCAGTGCTAACAGTGCGTCACTGCCTGTCAGCCAGGACCCAGATGCGTCTTACTCCTCTCTCACTCTCAGGTTGAATGGTGGTGGAGGGGAAGGGCAAACATGTTTTCCTCCACACCCTGCAGTCCCACTCTTTCATACAAACACAGGCAGTGGGTTCTTACCCCACAGGCAGTAGAAAGGCAGCCAGGAGCCAGGGGCAGAGGAAGAGCCAGCTGAGGGGTGGTCCAAGACCCAGGCAGGGAGGCTGGGCACAGTTTCCATCAGCGGCTCTTCTAGGCCTCTGGTGAGAACCACTTTTCTTCCCTGGAAGATCCGCCACCCTCCGGAATCAACCTACCAAGGGTGCCTTCTGCCCTGGCTCCCAGCATGTTTACTGTTTAATCCTGGAAACTGAGCCCTACCACTCTTTCTTTTACTGCTTTGACTTTTTTTCTCAGTATGTTTGCTTTTTAAGTCTTTTGTACATCTTTGGAGAAAGAAGGTCAGCACCAGTAAGTCACCTCAACACGAAGTGCCCAGCTGTGGACAAGTGGGTAGAGAGCTGGCAGCGGTGGTGGAGTGGGGGTGGGGTTCCCTCAGGTCATGTCCCTTTAGGATAGGCTTGCTGTCTGCCCCCACCCAGGGCTTCTGTGCAAGGTGTCACAGGGTGGGAGAAAGAGCCCTGGTCTCAGCAGCAGGAGACTGAGTCATTTTTGTCCTTCCACCCTGACCCATAACTCACAAGGTCCTCAGGGGCCGCCATGGCCTCACAGGACCACCCTCCCCCATCAGGGCCACCTCCCCCTCATTTCTGGAATTTTCTTCCCCCCTGTGAGGCTGCGTCTGTTCTTCATAATCCCACTTCCTGACGCAGTGATGTCACCAGAGCAGTTCTGAGAATGTCCCATTGAGCAGGAGTGAAGTACCTGGTGAACCGGGTCTGGTGGGGCGGCAGCTCCTGGGTGAGGCTTTTCCTTTCGCTTCGGATCACTGTCAACCCATCTTCTGAAATGGTCAGCCAGGGGTGGCAGGTGGCCTTGTTCAGGGGAAAGTAGCTTCCTGTGGGGCAGGGAATACACAGAAGATGCCTGGACAGTCCACTCACTGCTGTCTGTATAGGGACCCCATGTGTGGGTACAGTGTCTCCAGAACCCCTTGGAGTCACACCCTCTTGTGGATGAGTGGCAGCTGTACTGGAAGGGACAGCGCTGGGGCTCTGCCCTGAGTGAAGTTATTTGTACATCTGACCCCTTCAGTCCTCATTACCACCCATAGAAACAGGGGTTACCATCTCCATTTAGTAGACGGGGAAACTGAGGCACAGATGGGTAAGAAATCTGCCGGCAAATGCAAAACTTAAATTTGAACCCCACGGTCTTGTGATTCTAGTGCCTGTGCCCTTGCATCTGGGCTGGAAATGCCTGAGTCCAGACAAGAATTTCTCACTTGCCTGCCAAGGGGAACAGGAGTCAAGGGAATTCTTAATGACCATTTGATAAAGGTTAGCAAAATTCAACATCAGTCTTGCAGTTAGGGCAGTGGGGGAGAAGGACAGAGATGAGTCATCTCCAAATCATGACTCAAACAGAGTTCATCAAGCAGTGTACATATCTAATAAAAATCATGAATAAAAAAAGCCATTATGTAGGAACACAACAACTCCTCCTCCATTACAGTCCCTGAGACTAGTTCTTCTTTCCTAACCTCCCATTCAGTCACTTTTCATTGTCTCAAACTTTAGTTCAAGCATCACCAACAAACTGTTCACAATTATTTTTACAACCCTTGCCACTAGGAACTTTATTTGCTGACTGTTGAAAGGGAGGCACATTCCCACCTCACAATTAACAGTGAGTGGCCCCTACTGCCCTCTCTGTTCTCAAACAGATCATTTTTGAATATATATACATATATTTTTGCTTACTAATGTTCATGAAAGCGTTCCATTAATATTTTACACTCTTAAAAATTATTTGCTCTGGGGCAGACTGAGGCAGGATGATCATAATTTCAACTGCAGCCTGGGCAATTTAGTGAGACTGTCTCAAAATAAAAAATAACATAAAAGAGTTGGAGATGTAGCTCGGGGCAAAGACTCTGGGTTCAATTCCCAGGCCATACACGTACATAAAAATTATTTGAACAAATGAATTCGGAGAGAACAAATCATCAAGAGCTAGCTGTACCTCTTCCTTCCTGTTTTCTTCTACTGAAACAGCCAGAATTTGATATTTCAAAACAAGCCTGCAGAAAAAACTAGAACTGCAGACAACCAAAGGAAGGCCCCAGCACAAGACAAAAACCCCCAAGCCCTACTTCAGGCAGTCACTCTTTCCAGCTCTGTGGCTGTGGGTGGCCCCTGGACTTCCTGTCCATCTGTGTGGGAGGAAGAGAAATGGGGGCTGGTCATGGCCCTCTCCTCCCGGCCTTGGAAAGGAGGACACACGACACAGCATCTCTCAGTGAAAGATCCCCACAGAGGGCACCCTGTTCCCAAGCGCTGGGCCAGCTTCGGCTCTTATCACCCATACAGCAGGTCCAGCTGGTGTGTGCCATGAGGTGTGGGAGATCTACCTGGCCTTGGCACAGCTCAGCGAGCAGGGCCAGGGTGACAGGAGATTGGAAGACGTCACCAGTGAGGTCTCTGCAGACTCAAGACTCGGAGGTGAGATGCAACTGCTCTGACACGGGGAGGGCACGCAGGAGATGGGGCCAGGGGCTGGGAAGTGAGCTGAAGCCTGCGGCTCTTCTGGGAATTTCATCAGGACCCTGTCCCAGGGAGGGACTCAGCCTGGGTGGGCTGGAAGGCTCTGGGCCACCCAGATCCAGTGAACAAGGGTCTGGCCCACCTGAGAGGCCTGGAGAAAAACTACTCAGCTGCTACTTGTTGTGACGTGGGGCTTCATTCTCTCCATCTTTAAGACCAGGCCACGGGGCTTTGGTCTTGCAGGAGCCCTTCCAGGCCTGCCCTGTGTCCACATCTATGTATACTCATCTATGTTCTGGTGACATCACAGCAACATGGAGTCTGCTACCAGGTGGTCACCTGGGACCCAGAGGATACCACCCCACAGCCCAGGGCCCAGACCTGTGGTGCGGACCGTAGCAGGGGCGCTTCTGGCACTGGGGCCCCCCACGTTGAGGGCTCGCACGCAGATTGTGTAGCTCTGCCCAGGCTGCAGCTGTATCAGCGACTCACAGGTTGGGATGCCCACCACGGACCTGGGCAGGGAAATGGAGCTGTGGTCAGCATGGGGCCAGGACACCTGGGCCCAAGCCTGGCCGTGCTGTCCAAATCTGGCATTGTCTGAAAACCAGTCACAGACGCTGTGCTCTGGCCCACAGCAGCACACCTGGGCACATCAGCCTCCCACCCACCTTCCTCTGGGGTGCTCCTACGGGTGCGTGGCTCTCTCCCTCTGGAGCTTCCCGTGGATTCTCAGGCACCTGCTACCATGCTCAGAGAATGTCAAATGCAGTGTCTGCATCTGGCCTTGAGGGTCATAACCTGCCTGAGGGCAGGACCTGAGGACCACTACCCATGGCAGGTATGGAAGTCTCTCAGTATGTTTCTGTGACAAGAACTGGAGGGCCCTGGGGTTGTTAACCTCCACAGACTTCTGCACAGCCTGCTGTAAGCAGAGGAACAGCTCTGTGTCTTCCACTGCCACAGCTGCAGGCTGGCAGATATGCCCTGGTGGCGCCTGAGACCAGCCCTCATCACCTGTGTACCCCGCTCACTCTCACCACCAGGTGAGCCTGAACCACAGACCCCTTTGGCAGCAGACAGCAATCTTCGTGCGCTGAGCTGCAGTCTCTCGTGTCTCTCCTCGCTCTCCTTGCTCTCCTCCCTCTCCTCCCCGAATGCCAGCCATGTTGGCCCCTTCGTTTCTCCAGTGCAGCCAGCTCACCTCCGCTCAGCCCGTGTCCCTGCAGCCCCCTCCTGGGTGGCTCCTGAATCTGCCATTCTCAGGCTCACTTGCTCCCACTTGTCAGTGTCTGCTCCACCCAAAGGGGTCCCTGCCTCCGCTCCATCCCCTAGCTCGTTGCATTTCTTCTTCCTTCTTAGCACTTCAGTGCCCCAGAGCATGGTGTATTTCACACATTGCTGTTTTCTTGGCTTTTATTTTTGGCTCTTTCCCCATTTGCCTGTCCTCTCCATTAGGGCAAGAGATGCATCAATCTATTCCCCAGGCCCGTGGTCTCCTGGACATGGCACCACCAGTCCAGCGCAGGCAAACCCATGGTACTCATGCTGCAGCGGGCTGTATCATTGAAAGCCCTAAAAGGTTTGCCATCACTGACTAATCTGTTGACACTTATTGCACGAATGCATGGAAACCTCCATCTTGCTTTATAAAAAAGCAAACACGAGATTAACCAATTACACTCTTGGTCACCCTTCACCTTGATATTGGCATTGCAGCTGCTTCTTATGAAGATAAGTAAAGTATAACTAAGATTTCCCATGTGTCAGATTCTGACCTTCTCTCTAAAGCGCATTTCCAAGCATCCAGCACATGCCCTCATGACTTACTCGGTGACCCCTGAGGCTGCCGGTGCTTCTGCCTGGGTCAGCTCCACGGTGTAGGAGTCCACGGGATTCAGGTTCCCAGACTCCCAGCAGATGAGCACAGCCTCTTCGCAGCTCCTTATCTCTTCGATTTTTATAATGGGGGCAGAAGGGGCTAAACACAGGGGGAAGAGGAGGTGAACAACTGTCCTGTTCACTTCCCACCATCGCATTCACAGCCACAGACAAGCACCACAATCACCCTGTCCTCCCACATGAAAGATTCAGCGCCATGAAGAGCACCAGGGAATTTCCCAAAAGTCCTGGAGGGCAGGGTGGCCACAAGGTTCCAATGTCAGTGTGACCAAGAATAGCACTTGATATTTTGACAGCAACCATGAGAAAGTGCCTCTGCCATACTAAGCATATGTATTAACTGAACAAAGAGTCACATGGTTCCTTCTGTCCTTGCAAATGAAATCAAGGACCCTGCCATGTCCCAAACTTGTAACTCCAGTATCCCCTTGATTGAAAACCCTGTGACAGGGAACAGGGATCCCATTACCTGTCATGTACACTGCACGCTCGCTGGAGGGACTGGAGCCGGTCCTGTTCTGAGCTATGACCCAGAATTCATACTGGGTATTTGGTTCAAGGTTCGTCACTGAACAGTATGTTTCTTTGACGGTCACTGTAAACTCTACGGAGGAAAAAGACAAGAATTCCATTTTAAAATAGGCCAAGTGATTGCAAATTCATTGTGCTGAATCCCACTGTAGTCGATGGCAAAACTGGGTGCAAATTCCTCCCTTTATGCACACTCATCTGCAGTGTGACTTTGCTGTTCTTTCTACTAAGGAGCCCTGTCTCAGCCAGGCGTGGTGGCATACACCTGTAATCCCAGCTGCTTGGGAAGCTGATGCAGGAGGATTGTGAGTTTGAGGCCAGCCTGAGCAACTTAGAAAGAACCGGTTAAAAAATAAAAAGACCTGGGGATATAGCTCAGTGATAAAGCACCCCTGGGTCTGATGCTCAGTAGCCCCTCCCAAAAAAGATTTTTTCTTGCCATTCCTTGAAGCTGGGCCTACCTACGTGACTTGCCTTGCACCATGGGGCAATGACAGGATGCAAACGGAGGCTTGGGAAGTTCAGTGCACAGGGCCTTGTCCTCTTGCTGCTGGACATGCTGCCACCACAACATGAGCAAGCCAGAGCCAGCCTTCGGGAACATGGACCCACACAGGAGGCCCCAGCACCCAAGTGGCTGTGGCCATCCCAGCTAGGGCAGTAGATGAGTGAGGCCATCCTGGACCACCCAGTCCTAACCAAGGTGGCTCAGATAAGAATTGCCAGGCAATCCATAGCATTATAAGAAAGAATAAATTTTTTTAAGCCACTAAGTTTGGGAGGTGCTGTTATGCAGCAAAAATGGGTACAACTCTGACCATTCCAGAATCCTGTCAGGAAGTGGTAGCTCACTAATCTGCCCTCTGATGTCAGCTCTATTCTAACAACTTGTCCACTTGAGAGAGCTCTGTGGATGGCTATGATAAAGCCCAACACTGTGGCGTTTGTGTGTCTGCAAGGAGTGCCATGATAAAGCCCGACACTGTGGCATTTGTGTGTCTGCAAGGAGTGCCAGCAGTGACTCCTGGCAAAGGCTACAGCAGATCGGCTCTTCCTTTCCCCAGGAGCTGCCTTCCTTCCTGGCCCTGCGTGGAACATTGGCCTCACCTTGAAGGAATCGGGGGTCAAGGCCTGCCTAGGAGGGTTTCCCAGAATGAGACTTGAACTCCATTTTATGGATGAGGATGCATCCTGGTGCCATGACAGCACTCTGGGCAGGGAGCCCACAGCCCTGATTCTCATCCTGGTTCTGCCACAGTTCTCTGTATTCCCACAGTCGGATCATTTCTCCACACAGGTCTCAGCATCCTCATCCATAAAATGGAGTTCTCCAAGTCTCATTCTGGGAAACCCTCCTAGGCAGGCCTTGACCCCTGATTCCTTCAAGTACTCAGAGGGGGTCCTGCACTCTGATCTTCCCTTCCTGCTATGCTTTGATATGTGTCCCCTAAAGTCCCATAAATTGAAGGCTTGATTTCAGCCCATGGGGCTATTGGGAGGTAGGTGAACCTTCAGTAGGGGAGGCCTACTGGGAGGAGTGAGGTTAGTACAGGCATGGGCTTAGCGGGCGTACTGGGGTCTCAGCCCTTTCAGCTGTCTTTCTCATGGCTCTCTGGCTGCTACAAGGAGAGCAGCTTCCTTGGCCATGCATTGCCATGTGTAGTATTTCATGACAGGTCCAAAGTCAATGGGGCCGAGTGACCTAGGACTGAATCCTAGAATCTTTTGACTGAGCCAAAATAAACCATTCTTCTTTAAAAATTGATTTACCTCAGGTATTTGTTATAGTTTCTTTTGTAGCACAGGGTTGCAGTAAGAAAAGCCAGCCTAACCCCCACATGCCAGAATGTGCGGGAACTTAGCCCTGCTGGCCCTCCTGAAGACAGACATCACTGGTCAGTCCTGCATCCTACCCAGGCAGAGACTAATCCAAGGCCAACTCTGACCTGTTGGCTCTGAATACACTCCAAACACCTTGGCGTGGCCTCACAGTCCTCCCCAGCTAGGACCCAACTTGCCTTTCTGCCATGCTCCCCTGCCGCATTGCCCACTGGGGTGCCCAGGCTACCAGAGCTCTGGGGCAGACCCCTCCCTTCTCCACCACGCCATCTCTTCTGATGGGCCTGAGCCATTCCCAGGGGTACGAGCACGTTCCAGGTGGAGCCTCACCTGCTTGCTCCTTCCCAGGTAAATTGTCCCACACTGGCCGGTAGAACAACTGATAGTTCTCTACAGTGTCATCGGCATATAAGCTCCAGCACACCCGGACGGAGGAACCTGTGGCTGAGTTGGGGGCCTGTGGGTTTATCACGGGAGCAGAAGGAGCTAGAAAAGGAAAAGAGAGAACACAAAATGAGGCTTAAATTAAGTAGAGGATGGGTGTGGCTTTTGTAGAATCACTGGTCCCATAATGTATCCATGGCCTTTGGGAATGGCACAGGGAGCCTGGAAAAGGGAAAGTGGGAACACAAGCCTCTCACTCACAAGCCTACAGGAAAGACCAGGGTCCCCATTCCTGCCTGGGAAAATGCAGTTGAGCTTGAGAAGCTAGGGTCGGGGACTGGGTCTCAGACTGAGGTGCCGTTTGTGGGTCTTGTGCCACAAGGCCATGGGTCTCCAGCCCCTCCATGAATTTGAAGATACAGGACAGCCAAGCTCACCGTTCTGCTGCCCCCAGCTCTGGAGCGAACGCAGGAACAGCCCCCTTGAGCAGGGTTGCTGTGCTTTTACTGGGGGGCACCTGACTACCATCTCCCACCTTATAATGAGAGCGGGTTGGGGTGGCCAAATTGTGCTTTACAGAGCCATCTTCTGTAGAGTCTACCTACTAAATTAACTCTTCTCTGTGGGTTTATACTTCTGCCTCCTCCACTTCTGCACAGTCTCACACACAACCTAGAAGAAAAATGAGCCCTGTTTTTTCCCTGTCTGCCTTTCCCATGAGAGCCCTTCCCTTCACCCCAGGCTTTTAAGAGCATCCTTAGTTTCAAAGCGAAACTGATCAATCCAGGTGTGAGCACAGCTGAACTTGAAGGAGTTTCCTTGCCTACAGCTCATCTTTTACTTTCTGACCAGGGGCTGGAAGACCATGACATGATAGAGGTGAAGAGGAAGTCAGAGAACTACATTCCCAAAGGACCAGGTCCACTACACTGCCAAGGAAGCCTCTCCAAGAGCTGCAGTAAGAGGAGCGAGGATTCGGGGAGCTTCCCACCATTCAGAAGGTACTGGATGCATACAGGATGGGGCATCTGTATGGGAGCTGGACACAGCACAGTGAAGAAAATTGTCAATGCCACACAATGACCTGGGCCATGTTTATTCTCCACATTATTTTTTCTCCCTTTTAAAATCTTTTATTTCTCATTTTTTCTATTAATTTTATCTACCTCTATAAATATCCTTCTATTTCATAATAGAAATCTTTGAAGATGGCAGAGTAGTAATCTGCAGAGAAAGAGCCTCTCTAGAGTTGACCTCCAGATACTGGAATATAGCAATTTGAGGAAGAAAAGGAGGGAAGTGGGTCCCCTAGACTCAGGAAAGATCTGAAGTGAGAATTGAAGCCGATGGGGAAAGCAAAGAGAGGAACTTCAACACAAAAGGAGGTAGCAGGTGCCTTCTCCTTGATGGGACTCACTGCTTGGGAGGAGTGGTTCAAACCTGCCACATGCAGTGACTGCTGGTGACACCAGAGGCTTCCATGGAGAGACAAAGCAGTGAAAGGGAGCAGTGGGTGTGGAGGACTGCACTAGCTGGTGGTGAGCTCTGTGGGACCGGACATCCTGTAGGACAGGGCAATTGGCCAGCAGCCACTTGGATGGGGGCCAACTGAGCTCAGAACTCAGAACTACTGCTAGGTCCATCTAGTTGCTCCCAAATGAGTTCAAGCCTGTGAAAGGTGCACTGATGGTTGCACGCTGCAGTCTGGTCCTAGGCTCATGGTCAGAAACCAGCCTGAACTTCAGGGGAAATAATGGTGCAGACTCACTGAAATTATCCTCTACACCTCCATAAAGATACTGTTGGCTTGCTGGGATAAATCAACACAGATCTGGAGTCTGTGTCTGTACGTTGTCTACCAGTGACAGCAGAGACAAACCTGGAAGTGGACATTTTTTCTCTCCCTTTTTTTTTCTCCTTCATTGCTTGATCTTGTTTTTATATGAATGTGAACATGGTTTCTAGTTCCTTTGTAGTTATTCTTCTGTTCTGTTCTTCCTTTTATTTCTTCCTTCTCTCTTTCCCTTCTGTCTTCCGTACCAGTTTCCCAAAATTTGCATGATCCTCCTTTATCCTCTAGTCTTCTTTCTAATCTCTTCCTCTTCTTCTATTTCTATTTTTTTCCCTGAGCTCTTTTAAATTTTCTCCCCAAAGGTAAAATTGAAATGATGAGGGCTTATTTAATGCATACAATTTTCTGGTATGTTCTAGATTGTGATATGTAATCACAAATGTAGTTCATACAGTTAAAGGTGGCAAATTAATGGTTAGCTCAGTTTGTCATTTTCTAGGCTGTGTTTGATGCTCTTATTATTGCTGATTGTACCACTTTAGCCAAGCTGACATGATGGTTCTAATGATCTGTTCTCCCTTGTATACCAAGACTGAGATTGCCTAAAGGTCATAGAAAATACTGTGGGCCATTGCCAAAGAACCAGGGGCTGGGCCAAGCAGGCAGCAACTTCTCATTCCTAACAAACTGAAGAGGTAGAACCTTCAACAGACTCAAAACCCCAAAACCAGCTACACCTGGAAGATACCTTGGAGAAGCAGTCATTTCCTAAGGGTTCTAAATACTAGCCATAAACCAAATTGCCATAGGAAATTGAAAGGCATCAACCCGGGAATTAAACTAAAAAAGTTGAAAATGACAGCGCACTTAAACAAGATGCAATCCCAAACATCCAGTTCACCAAAGGCAAACCCAGGGGGCAATGAGGCAGGACAATCTGAAAGCCATGCATATGGCCTTTCTGAGGTGGTAACAACAAAGAAAATGAGGGGCTGGGGATTTAGCTCAGCAGCAAAACGCCTCCCTGGCAAGTGCAAGGTCATGAGTTTGATTCCTGGTACCAGAAGGAAAACAAAACAAAACAAAACAAAACAAAACAAAACAAAACAAAACAAAACCACAAAGAAAATGAATGAGTCTCTAGCAAAAATAAAATCAGAAATAATTTCTCAGATAACTGCAGAGATGGCATCCACAATGAAAATCATGCTTAGTGACACTAGAGCACATACAGATAAAAAAAAAAAAAACAGAGGAGCTTAAGAAAATATGGAAGCCATGAATGCTCAGTTTAGGAAAGAAATGGAATCCATAAGGCAGATTCAAGCAGATATCAAGCAGAATAAAAATTCCATTGAAAGTATCTGCAACACCGCAGGTGCCTGCCTGGGAGGCCACTTGGCTGGGGCGCGCCGGCCCTTTTGGGCCTGGCTCCCAGCCATGCAGGTGCTCAGATAGGCAGGCAGCAGGTGCCTGAGAAGCGGCACAGAGACGTACACTGGCCCTTGGGCCGGCCGCCGCTGTGCGGTCGAGAACCACCATGCCACAGAGAAGCACTGACACAATAGGCCTGCCTGGAGACATGGGTGAACCGTCCTGACATGGAGAAACCTCTGGGAAAACATGCCACAAGGTAGGTCACTCTTGGTCCTGCCCTTGAGAGCCAGAAAGGTCTGGAGTCAGAGGAGGAGCAGCTGATGAACAAGGACTCAGAGAACA